ATAAAAAAATTTAAGTTGTGGTATTTGACATAAGTATACTTAATCTTAATGAAGGGGATCTCCCAAAATCTTCACTATCTATTGTATTAGTAAGTACAGCATCTGACAATTCAGAAATTAATAATGATAAAATCACTCTAAACTTAAATGCAAAAAATATATTAATAATACACATAATAAATCTTTTATATTTAACTTGTATTACTTTTCAAATGATAACTATCTACTGCTTATTATAACTAATATTCTACACAGATAATTATTATATATTACTGAATATCTATTAATTATTGAAAAACTTCTACTTATTAGACTTACACAGATAAATTTCATTGAAAACACTTGATCTTTACTTTACAAATCTTCAAGTTATGCTTGAAAAAAGAATTAAACAAATAAATCTTTTACACAGTCTACCCTATAGCTATAGATATAGTTAAGTCTCTTTTGGAGAAGACCAATAAAAAGAGTGTGAGAAATTAAGCATCTACTTTACCAAATATTCTAAAAATTCCAAAGCTTTTTTCTTTAGCTTTACCTTAATCAAAAGAAGATAATAACTATCAAAAAGAAGAAGATACTTTAATATCTACTTAACCAAATACAGTTAATAATTCTCAGAATAAAGTTCAACCTAATAATAAAGAAAAATATTAAAATCAAAAAGAAGAAGAAAAAGAAAATAATATAATTTTCAAATTTCTTATTAATTTATCTTTTCTATAATAACATATTTTGTTTTCTTTTATTTTTTTTTTTTAAAGTATTAGCAAATATTTCTTCTCTTTTTACTTTTTTATAAATAAAAAATGTAATAGATTATTATAATAAATTTTTTTTTACCAATAATATAAAAACAATTTAGTTTTTTATTTAAACAAATATTAATAATAATACTAAATAATTATTAAATAATAATAATAAAAAAAATTATTGTTTTATAAATTAATAATAATAATAATAATAATAAAATAATATTAAATAATTATTAACAATAACAATGAAAAATCATTGTCTTATAAATAAATATTAGTAATAATAATTAAATAATACTAAATAATTACCAAAAAATAATAATGAAAAATCATTATTTTATAATTAAAGATTAGTAATAATATTAGATAATAATAAATAATTACTAATCAATGATAATATAAAATCATTTATTTTTTAAATAATTATAAAAAGACCTATTAAACAATATAATCTTTTAACAAAAAATTAAAATTATTAATAAAATGTTATATCATGTTTTTCAAATCTTAGAAGCATAACTATTATAACAAGATGAATTAATAGCTAATTTATTATCTTATGATACTAGAGAGATCAATCAGTTTAACAATTTAATTCTTATTTGCAAATAACTCAATTGTATCAAATATTTTCCTCCTGGATTCTGTTAAAAAAATTATTACATTAAAAAATAAATTTGAACTTTATATTCTTGCTCAATATCCATGTTTACTATATTCATATTATAGAAAAATGATGTATTTAGAAAAATCTCACTGGATTACAAAAAACGATAATTTTATTTATCTATTAATCTGAGAGTATTCAAATTTATCTTTTACTTTTAATCTAAATCCACCTAACAATAAAATACCTATTTGTAATACATGTCATAAAATCCATTTAGAAATTATCTTTGTTATTTATATCCTACACCTCCTTAAATTGAAAATATATCTTTATGAAAAAGAAAATATCTTTCACTATATTTTTGCATTTATCTTTAAAAAAAACTTCTAATATAAATAATTATACAAATATCGATCTTTTATTAATATTATGAAATATTTCAAAAATTATAGATCTTTAACATTATATTTAGAAATGCTAGATGCATTTTTAGAAAATCTTGAATCAAATTATAATGATAAAAATCATAACTGGTTTGATATTTCACTTGTGAACAGTGCTATTTGATTATATAATAATAATTTGTACATTTTATGCTATTCAAATTTATTCACAAATTAAAGTATTCCACTATTTTCAATTGCAACTCATATTTCTGATAATGATAATGCTCCTTTATTCAGATTTAGTGATATAGTTATTCCTCAATAAAACTTTCTTAATGAAGTTTATGATAAAGATATATATTATACTAGATTAATAGTAGGATTTCATCATAATAATGATGAAACAAATTCTCTTCCAATATCTATTAATTATCTAAATCTTGAAGCATTACTATTTCTTGATTTATTTCTTAATAGTCATAAACATTATCAAGAAATGATTTCTAATTTAACTAATCGACAATTAAGAATAAATACATATGAAAAATATATTAAACATAGATTATTAAATATAGATCATAGATTTAGGATACATCATTACTAGTTAGCATAGTCATACTTATAATTTAAAAATTATGTAATCATCAAAACACATAATGAATATTATGTTAATATGATACTGATATTTATTATCATTCTTTTACTGTTATCAAAATAATTAAACAAAGTTTATATATTAGTAGATATAAGTATAATGAAGAGAAATCTATTCTATTATCTACCTTTATTAGAATTGATAATATATATTTTCAAAAAAAACAATGCATTTAAATAGCATAATAGTAGGATTGCAATTACCTATAGTTTTATTATTTTATTAATGGCTGAAGCTTCATGGAAGGATTTAAATAATATATTAAACAAAATAAACAATCATGATATTATTTCAACAAATTGTTCTTTATATACTTACTACATTACATTTTATTTATAGATTACAATTTCTTAAAAAGTTAATTTGAAAAGATTCTGATATAAGTGGATGGAATATTTATCATCATTTTTTTTGAAAGAGTTGAATTTTAAAACAGAGGAGCAGCTCATACACACAATATATACTGGACTACAAAATCAATTAAAGAAATGATAAATAATAATGTTATTAGATCTGATATATCAGATCTTAATCTTAAACCTAAACTATATCATTTAGTAATGACTTATCAAATTTATACTTTGTAATGCAAAATGTGGTGATCCAGCACCTTCTGAAGAAAAATGTAAAAAAGGATTTCTAAGGCTATACTTACTACTTACTTATTATGATAATAAATCTTTTTGATATATATATTGCTATATTAATCAACTTGATAGATGGATTGGTACCTTATCATACTCCTACATTATTAATTTGAAAAGCCCATATGAATGCTAAATATGTGATAGATAAAGGCTTAGCAAAATATATTAATAAATATATTTCAAAAGCTGAACTATTATATTTATTTAATGTTAAAATAATGATCTTTATCGTGAATATTTTTATGCAAGAAGATTAGGTAATATGAAATTAATATTCTTATTGCTTGGAGAAAAAATTTGTAACTCTTCAATACAAGTATTATACCTTATTACAAATTCTCCTTTAATACACTTTAAAGCAATTATGCTATTATAATTAATAGATAAAGATTCTTATTAGGCAGATTGTATTGAAAAATATCTTGCTAGATTTAATAATGAAATATTTGATAATATAATCTATAGAGAATATTATGAAAAATATAATATTTATAGTTTCATTTATCTAATACATTATCAAGAAGAAATGATATTTATACAGATAATATGAATAATTATATTATCAAAAGAACTACACCAGGACTCTAAATAATATACAAATATATTAGATTTAAGTTTGCTTAACGATCATAAGAAATTTTATCACATATGAAATTTTTATTTACTTAATGAATAGTTTAATTTTAAATTAGCCAGATTTATAAATGTATAACAAGGTATGAATTTAACTAAACTTAATATTGAGTTTGCATAGCAGATACTTAATTTGGCAATCATCTTATTTATATATTTTAAAAAAAAATTTTGATCACTCATCTTTATCTTTACATATCATTATCATTTAAAGTTTTGGACAAGTCAAGTTTATATTTTTTTGACTCAATGATTTGCAAGTCAAATCAAATTTAAGTCAAATTAAATATTTAACCCAATTCGATTTAAACTTGACTTAAACTTGATTTAACTCAAGTTGACTTAAAATAATATTATTAATAAATTAACATTTTAAAACTATAAAATTTATATATTATAATAATTAAAATACTTTATAATAGTTAAAAATTCAAATTTATTTTATTAATTTAAATTATTAATTTTAAATTTTATTATAAAATGATTTTCTTAAATAATAAACTATTGAAAATCTATTTTTTAAAACATTTAAATTAAAATATTCTAAAAGAACAGATTTTAATAAAATGATATAATCACATTTAACCTCTACTATAATACCTATTTCACTCAAAACCAAATCTCCACCTTCAAAATCCCCAAAAATAACTATTATACAAAATGCATATTTACAATTATTGTTGTCTTTATGAGGATCAGTAGCGCCTTGTCTTATTAAATTTAATTTATCATTTTCTCTCAGTATACTTAAATTTATGGCAAAACTTTTAAAAAATGATAAATTAGTTTTAACGTTAATATATATGGAAAAGTATCGGACCTCGAAAATTAAGGTTACAAATGATGATTCAATTTAAGATAACCTTAAAGTTATATTAATGTATATATACATAAAAAATTGCTACTACTTGCTAATTAAAGCGTTTCATTAATTAATTTTCGCGGGGGTGTATATTACCAGTGTGTTCACAGTTAGACAAGCCATCCAATCAGTATAATTTGAAACTAGCCGTCGAAATCATTTTTTAATTGGTTAAACAATTATTGTATTATGTAAAAAACTAGGTAAAAATTTATTTATTATTAAGCGGGAGAACGAATAGTAGCAACGGTTAATTTAATTGCCACGTGTTCGGAATTACCCAATCCAAACTCAAAAATCGGGAAAAAAGATGGTCGGACTCGGGCACCCCCATCAGTAAGAAAAAAAAAAAAAAAAAAAAAAAAAATTTTTTTTATAAAAAAAAATTTCTAATAATCCGATTTTTTATCTTATTTTTCAAATTTTGAAAATTTTCTTTCCATCTATTAAGTATGAGTAAGTAAGTATCTGGTTAATCGTTCTAAATACCCTTCATATATCTTTCAAATTAACGCTGGAATAAGTATATATGTGTTATTTCACAATTAAGAGATAAAATCAGATGATTATAGTTCACATTTGAAGTTACTTAGAGAATACCTTTTTAAACTGTTATTTACTTAGATTATTAATTGATTTTGAAAGTGATATCAAATAGTCATAGTCGTCAAACTTTTACGATCTAGACAATTGCAACATATTATTTTTTTTTTTATTGTATCCCAGTGATATCTAAACTATGTATATAAGTGATCGTGGATGTTAATGATTCTTCTTTTTTTTTCTTTTTTAATCTGATTGTAGAGACGAAGAATTTACAGATATCCCGGAGGGAGAAATTGAGGTGAGATTAAACTATAAGAAAATGATACTTATATTATAAGTGCACTTTTATTAACATAATTTTTTTAATTTAGTCAAACTGGGAGGAAGTTGTCGATAATTTTGATAATATGAATCTAAAGTCTGAACTTCTTCGGGGTATTTATGCTTACGGGTAAATATTATTATAATAACGATAATGTTACAGAAACGCATCAACTCATTATTATATGTTATATGGTGCGTTTCTATTGACGAGGCCATATATAGTAATTTATTAAATTTTTTTATGATTATATTATTAAATATGTTTAGTTTCGAAAAGCCTTCGGCCATTCAACAACGTGCCATTCTTCCGGTTATAAAAGGACATGATGTAATTGCTCAAGCGCAATCAGGAACGGGCAAGACTGCCACGTTTTCTATTTCTATCTTACAAAAGCTTGATATTAACATTAATCAATGTCAAGCCCTTGTACTTGCACCAACTCGTGAATTGGCTCAACAAATTCAGAAAGTAGTAATTGCTCTTGGTGATTTCATGAACGTTGAATGCAATGCTTCAATTGGTGGTACAAATGTTCGTGAAGGAATCAAGAAACTTGAAGCTGGTGCTCACGTAGTTGTAGGAACACCTGGACGTGTATTTGATATGATCAATCGTCGTGCTTTAAAAACAGATAATATTAAAATGTTTGTTTTGGACGAAGCAGATGAAATGTTATCACGTGGTTTCAAAGAACAAATCTATGATGTCTTCCAACTTCTTCCCCCAAGTACCCAAGTAGTTCTTTTGTCTGCTACTATGCCAGCCGACGTTCTGGAAGTAACCACCAAATTTATGCGTGAACCTGTTCGAATTCTGGTTAAACGTGATGAGTTAACCTTGGAAGGAATTAAGGCAAGCATTAGTACCTTGTATATAAAAAAAAAAAAAAAAAAATTTTTTCCTTTATATATTTTAATGCATTTTAGACTCATGTTGTGATTTTCAATATGTAGCAATTTTATATTGCCGTCGAAAAGGAAGATTGGAAACTCGACACTTTGTGTGATTTGTACGAAACCGTAACCATTACTCAAGCCGTTATTTTCTGCAATACGCGAAGAAAAGTTGATTGGTTAACCGACAAATTGCATGCCCGAGAATTCACTGTATCTGCTATGCATGGAGATATGGACCAAGCTCAACGTGACGTTATTATGAAAGAGTTCCGTTCAGGGTCCTCTCGTGTACTTATAGCCACTGATCTTTTAGCTCGTGGTATTGACGTCCAACAGGTGTCATTAGTAAGTACATCAAAATAAATTCCATCATAATTTTTAATTTTTCTTACTTTTAATCTGAAAATTAAGTAATTAATAACTTAATTTTTCAAAGGTCATCAACTACGATCTTCCTACCAACCGTGAAAACTACATCCATCGTATTGGTAGAGGAGGACGATTTGGTAGAAAAGGTGTTGCTATTAATTTTGTTACGAGTGATGATGTTAGAATGCTCCGCGACATAGGTATTGTATTTGATGTTTGCTATTCTTACTTCGTGTATTTAGGGGAGTTTTTTCTAACATGTTTCTTTATATAGAACAATTTTACAATACACAAATCGATGAAATGCCTATGAACGTGGCGGATTTGATTTAAGAAGTCGATCATTCATTCATTAATTTTTTTTTGTTTTTTTTTTTTAAAAAAAAAAAAAAAAAAAAAAAAAAATAATAATAATAATAATATATATTCATCATCGATCACCCATTAAAAAAAAAAAAAAACCAATACCAACAAAAAAAAAAAAAATTATATATATCTTTAAACTAAAAAATTATAAATTAAACCACAAAATTATTCAAAAACCAAACCGTTATCGTTTTGTAAAAGTATAAGCAACTTTATCACTTTATATTTTTATTGTTTTCCTCATCTTAGATTATTGCTTTTATAAAAGCTTTTTTTTTTTTTCTTTTTTTTTTAAAAAAAAAAAAAAAAAAACTATTCGAACAATACGACACATTATTTACGACTTGAAAAAAAAATACCTTTATTAAATTGGTTTAAATGTTCAAGAATGAAAACAAAGTGTTGTAATCCTAACCCAATTTGACATCAAATTCATTTTTATTTTATTTTTTTCCTCCTTTGGGTATAAATTATAGCGGGATATAAAACGTTAGTGGGTTAATAGAATTAATTTAATTTTTTTTTATTCCGAAGATATTATTTAATGAATCGTGATATTTTTGGTATTATAATAAAATTATTTTATTTTTTTCAACTTTTGTTATGATTATGACTTGAAAGTTATCCCAAAATCATATATTATTAATACGTCATAGTTCCCATAATTATAGGAAATTGATGTTCGTATAATTCCTTTGATAATGAGGAACTTTAATTGGATTCTTTATATACAGTATATACCTCAAACTTTATTAACATCTGTTGACCTATAAATTAATTATGGGAAAGATATCGTACACAATATGAGTCATTTGAATAAATTAAATCTGAATATACATTATATACATTTAAATACAAATTATGGTATAGAATTAGGGTTAATTAAGGTTAAGTTTAAGATTAGGGTTTATATCACAATGTGACACACTCCTCTGTTTCTCATTTTTTAATAATCAATCGGGGAACTTGGAAAATATTTAGATAAAAATTCTATTATATGTCACAAAGGTGATTTCACCCGGGGAGCAAGTTAGCATTTTAATCAATCATGAGACTGCTAAGTTTTTGAAAAAAATAAGTTAAAGAAAATCTTAAAAGAAATGCAATCTTTAGACTGACATCATATTGTGAAGTGTTATAAGTCTTCTCCTGAATCATTGACTAAAGATTTCATTTCAAAGTATGGGGATTAAAATTATATGAGATAGTTCAGAACTTATAGGCAGTTACAAGATGCTAGTACTGATAATGAAATGGCTATTGAGACTATTCTTGTAAAGATTATAGAAAAAATAGGCTCACAATCACAACTTGAGCTGAGAAGCATTAAATCTGCCTAGAATTACTAAAAATTTGTACACTTGCTAAAGATATTAATGATAAGGTAAGATATAAAACTGATGATGTTAAGAGATACTTAAATACTTCTAAATTGATTTCATATCTTCAGGATTTAGTTCTCAAAATAGTTTGAGTATTCAATAATACAAAGGCATCACGCAGTACTAAAAAATTAGGTTTAATAACAGTTTGAATGAAATTCAGCTTACTGAATTCAGCATTATATGCAATATACAGGTTAAAATTTAAGATTATAGATAAGAATGATAGACATTACTATCTAGTTAGATCTTTTAATAGTAAAGATACTCCTATATTATCTCTATACTAAACAGGAAAATAAATTTATTGGGTAGATGAAAAAGATACTCAGTATTGCTATAGCAAGCTTTTACCTAATAAATATTAATATAAATATATTATACTCTAGTCAGGATACATATTTTTAAGATAAAGATTTCTCCCAATATTTTATATAATAATTCTGGAGAATCCTTCATATTTTTTTATACTAGTTCTAAGCTCTAATAATATTTTCACCTCTCGACAGATAATTTAAAAGTTTTTATAAGTTAAAAAATCTTAGCCTTATATTTTTGCCTCATTCGATAATTGTGCGAATGAATACTAGTAGAGTGGTTATAATAATATCTTGAATTAGTATCAGTAGGAAATTCACAACCACTAAAAAGATAGAGTTTTTTTTTAAATTCTTTTTATATAATTTCTAGTGCCTATAACATCCTTCAGAGAGTCAATATTTATTTCCACAAATAGTATCATCCCTTTTGATATATGGACAAGTAAAGGGAGCCATAAAAGTATTTTAGGATATAAAACCCTCTTTCACTTTAATTTTATAATAAAATATGTATTTAAATTAATCAGTATTTTAATGAAATAAATTATCTTTTTATACTAATATTATGAATACATTAGATCAACTGATAGAAGCTCGCAAAAAAAATTTATAATTCTAAAACTAATCACATGATAATTATAAATAGACTAGTATATCATAAATTGCTACTCAAAGAATATATGTATTAGAGAGAAGAAAGGCTTTTAATTCCACCTTTATATAAATTGCTGATATTAAGAAGATATCTTTCTTTCATTTTATATCATATCTGAAACATTTATCAAAAAGAAATTTATTAGCAGTGGTTAATGAAAAAATAAGCCTATTGCAGATTTTACTCAAAGCTAATTAGCATAATCTCACTTTATGTCAACTATTAAAATTATGCTAGAAGTATGAAAAGATGAAAGTTTGGAGAAATAACATATCATAAAATTTCTCCATCATCTGAATCTAACTTTTTCAAAATATAAACCAAGTGCTTTATATGATGCATTTTCTAAGACAAATATTTTAAGACTAGAACATATATTAGCTCTAGCATAAGCATTTTACTAAAACATGATTTGATATAAATAATTAGTTTATAGCCTTAGAATGGCAATTCTATAACTATGTATTTTTTTTGCTTATCCTATCTACTTGCAAATTTTAAATTGATGTAAAATCTATTTTTAGCCATAATAAATAGTCTCAAAAAGACTCTATATAGATTATATCATTATTTTTTTGTTTCCTTAACATTCTCAAGAGTCATCTATTGATATTTTTCCTTTCAGAAGAAGTATAGCTCTAAGGAAATTTTTTAAATTGAACTTTTTTTACAGTATAGTATCAAATGATCTACATAATACCAAATAACTTATATATTACTAAAAAATATGGCTGGTATCACTACTAAATATGTAATAGAAAATAAACTTAATAATAAAATAAATATTAAAGAGCTTAATAAGCATGCTCTAGTATTAAACATCCTTTTAACAAATAAAGTTAAGAGAGATCAGACACATTGATATCTTCAAAAAGGATATAACTTTAACAAAAAAACAGGTATTTACATTAATTTCTAAGCTGATGGTTAATCAAAAAAAAGGTGAAGTTGTATCTTTTAATACTCTAAATACTTTTGATATTCTCTAAAAAGTAGAACTGGTAAAGGGAGACATAGTAAATATATGCTAAATTTTGCAAAAAAAGACTATTAGAGATTTAACCTGATGTATTATTCAGGATAATCTTAATAAAATAAAAATAAAAATTATAGCTAAAGCCTTAGCTGAATTTGCCTCTAATGCTAGCACTGGTTTATCATGAATCTCTAGGCTTTGAAGAAAGTTATAAAATCTCAAAGTCTCAGAAAAAATTATCTCAGCTATATTGATTTCAAATATAACCCATTCAGCTAATAAAATTCAAAAAAAAGGTTTATTATGTGAAAATGAAGGTGTTGATTACTTAGATTACTTTGCGATAGAATCAGTTAAGGAGAGATTGGATGTGTATAATATATTCAAAGTTCTTAGCTTGCAAGCCCTTACTGATATAATGATAATGCTCTGCATCTGTTCTGCTAAAATAAAAACCCTATATATATTATTATAGTCAGTTCTTTAAGATGCTTATTAATGATAAGTAAAGCAATATTTATAGGTGATAAGCAGAAGGTTTAATTTGATAATTAGATTTAGAAGAGTGTCAGTAAATTAACAGTTTATTTAATAACTATAACAATGGAGTACTACTTCAGTCGACGTTTTGTACTATACAATTATGTTAAGGGAATTAAACTAAACTATTTAATAAAACTATGAATCAGACACACTGTTAAGTTAAAAGAAATTGTCTTCTATTTATATAAAATAAAAAATATAAAGTTATCAAAAATATAAAAGAAATAAATATAATAAATAAAATATAAAAATAAATAAAATATAATAAATATATGAGATAAATAAAATAAAATAATAAAAAAAATATATTGTATAAAAGAAATATATGCTATAGATAACATAAATGACATAGAAGATATATATAATTTCCTAGGGATTGATGTTATCCTTTAGATCATTATCATCCATGTCTTCTTCTGTATAACATCACTACTCTTCAAGATTTTGTGTCTTTGCATAAATCTCAGCGGCCTTATCAATTAGATCATTATATTCTACTGTTGATAGTCTAACTATTAAATTAAGAGTAGTTCTTTTACTTCATACAATCTACGCTAGTCTAAGGAATTCAAAAAGATAATATATTCATATAGATGCATGATAATAATGTTTAGATAACTTCTTGACATACACTGAGTAAACTGTAGGGTCTTCTATTTTTTCTATAAGCTTTTTAAGATAAAAGGTATTTGTTAGCATTAGAACATGATTATTCATTTGTTTAACCCTTTGTAACATTCGATTTGCAAGAGAGAACTTCATTTTTAAGGACATAGTTTTGCTATAAGATGAAAAATACATCTCAATTTCTTAAGGTATGGTAAGTTGCAGATCGACATAAATTAATTAAAAATTTTGGGAAAATCTTTCAGTATAGATAGGGTATTTCTAACTCTTTTATCTTATTAATTTATCAATTTCAAGTTAGGCTTCCTCCTATTTAAATATTTTTCAGCTAAAATATTTTAGTATTTTCATAAATTTTTTCAATTTTCAATCAACATAATGGGCTGAAACAGATCACGTTAGTGATACTGTTTTAATCTATCACCATTTATAGGTATTTTTAGGATCTTCTTGTCTAACGTTCT